ATTTTTATTTCACTGTTTTCTAAGTAGGTTAAAGAGACAATGAACACCACTCTTCTGGCAGAGCAGGCTCTATCTGCAGTGGTGTATCCTCTGGGTACAGGCTTTCAAGTTCCATGGCAGTAAAAATGTTTCTGTTTGCTTTGTGAAAGAAGAATTGAGTCAGCATGACCAGGAAAAGGCAATAGGCACACACAGGATGAATTGAGCTAATGAGGGCCATGCCATGGTGAGGACTGGAGTAGAAATCGCTCTATACTGCAAGTCCAAAGAGCCCAGGGCAGATGGTAATCAGAGCTCTGGTGACCCTGGTAGGGAGGGGGACAACTCTTATAGATCGTTTTGGGAATCTCTGAGTCCTCCTCATGAGCATGAAGTTGCAGGGTTATCAGAAAGGGCAGATTTATCAGATGAGAGGACTAAAGGCTCGCTGTCTCTTTTCCTACGTACCAGGCAGCCTCTAGCTAGCGTCTGTGGACCACCCACTCCTGGTACTAATGGATCCTGGAAAAGCTACATCTTTTCACTGCTCTGCTGATTGGGAACATCCTTTTTCTTATGCAGGGCCTGAAAGATGTGTTGATATTTGATAAGAAAGGATATTTTTTTCTTCTGTTTATGTGACCCTCCCACCACCAAGTCTGACATTGGGATTATGCGAGGGATTAGTGAGGACTGGCAGTTGAAGCAAGAGAAGGAATATCAGAGTGGAGCATATGGGCAGCTCCAAGGAGGGGCCACCTTGGAGGGGAAATTTCCTTAAGCTAATGACTGCAAATAAGTGCCAAATGTAGGCATGTCTTGAACAGGACCCTGATACCTCCAGCTCAGATTTCCTCTCGCTGCTTCTGTCTGACTTTGTACACCAGAAGACATGTTCTTTTGGCCATTTCTGTCGGCCTATTAGAAGCAGGTATTGGATGGAGTAGAGGGCTGCCCACAGTTCAATATTTCCATGATCGATGGAGAACCATTGTAGATGATATTAAATTTACTCGGGGTATATTGGTAAAGTATTTCTTTGACATGGGATTAATGTTCAGAGTATCTAGAGTAACCTGAAAGAAATTAAAATACAAAATAGATTCTGTGCCAGCAATTTTCAGTGAAGATCCATGTGTTTACTAAAAAAAATCACCCACATGGAATTTAAAGTGGTCCATCACTATAGACATTTCTATAAGGCTCCTTCATGGCTATGAGGCTTAAAAGTGTCGTCAATTCACCCTCAGGAACCTGAAGCCTAACATGCACAGTGCCTTGGTTTAATGTTGGCTAACTCAGAATGCCATAGGGTGGAACGCCAGCTAGGAAATGCCCTGTGAGTACGTAAGGGAACTTTCAAACTTGAAGCAGCGTCAGCATCACCAAGACCCGCCCCTTTGCTGCCAAGGAGAAACTTCTAGCAAGGATTTCCGGAAGTGGCTAATCTTGATTTCCGTTTGCTCTGTCGCTGTGACTTCTCCGGGAAGTGAGGGCGTCAACCTGAGAGGCGTGATATTGATTGGCTTAGAGGCGTTCCCGCTATTGCCTAGGATTAGGTAAGAGCCAAGTTCGATGTGACAGGACTTCTTAGCCCAATTACAGGGAATTCCTAAGAGTTTGACCCATGTTATCAGCTTTAAAAAAGAATCGGGCGTAGCAAACTTCCGGAACCTTCTAAACACTGAGATGTGGCTGCTGAGTGAAAGTAATCACTTCCGATAAGCTTAGAGGGTTTCCAAGCTTGAAAAGGGGGGGGGGGAACCCTGAGGGAAATCTTTGGTAATCGCCCACCTATAAGAGTGTAACTGAGCCGTTAGACCGTTAGACCGTTAGATCATTAGACCGTTAGACAGGAGGGGTTCTTCTGGGATGACAGAAGTAACACCTGTCTCCATGGTGTCTGGCCGAACTGATGGTTTGGCACAAGAGGGGCAGCTTTAAGTAGTGGGAGGTGTAACCCTGAACGGATCCTGGAATAGAGGGAAGGAGGAGCATTAAGTAGGTGCAAAGAAACTTGTCAGCGCACTTTGAAGCGGTTCTTGAGTTTCTCTTCAGGTCGCAGTCCAGGTACAAGCGGGTGCGTTGGATCCTCGTCTGACGTAGAGATCTCCCCGACAGTCGGAATTGTGAGTGAGTAACCTGGCGGCGGGGGTGGGGTGGGGCGACAGACGGGGGCAGGTCGGGGGGCTGTCCCGAGCGGCGAGGGGCTGCTGTGGGTGTCTTCGGGACGTGGGATCCGGTAGCCGATCCCGGGATCCTGGACAGGAGAGACCTTGGCAGGAGAGGAGCAGGGTATCCCAGGCTCTGTCTGAACTAAAAGCACAATTAAGAAAAAATCTGTTGAACAAGAGTTCAATTTACACCCTATCCTGGCAAATTTTTATAGGGTGCAAATGAAATATTTTAACAGTATAAACATTTGTTCGTTTTTGTCTTCTTAGTAATAACTATTCAAATTGCAGTAACATATAATATTTTATTGTGCAATTTCCCTGATAGCTAGTAAAATGAAACATTTTTGCCATTCCTTTGCACATTTATTAACTGGATTTTTGGGATATTTCATTTAGCTTTTTTTTTAAGATTTATTTTTATTGGGAAGTGAGATATAGAGAGAGGAGGAGAGACAGAGAGGAAGATCTTCCTTCCAATGATTCACTCCCCAAGTGAGCGCAATGGCCGGTGCTATGCCGATCCAAAGCCAGGAGCCAGGAACTTCTTCCAGGTCTCCCACACGGGTACAGAGTCCGAAGGCTTTGGGCTGTCCTCAACTGCTTTCCCAGGCCACAAGCAGGGAGCTGGATGGGAAGTGGAACTGCCGGGATTAGAACCAGCGCCCATATGGGATCCCGGTGCATTCAAGGGGAGGACTTTAGCTGCTAGGCCACGCTGCCGGGCCCCATTTAGTTTTTTTTTTTTTAGTTGCTTATATATTCTGGATACTAATCTTATGTCAGATTAATAGCTTACAAATATTTTATTCCAGTCTATCAGTTTCTTATTTTACTTTGTAGATGTTTCTTAGCTCAGTATAATCCCATTTGTTTTGTTGCTTGTGTTTTAGGTATATATATATATTTTTTTTAAATTTATTTTTATTTATTATTATTTGTTTTTAAGATTTTTAAAATTTTATTGGAAAGGCAGAGTTACAGAGAGGAGGAGAGACAGAGAGGAAGATCTTCCATCCAATGGTTCACTCCCCAAGCAGCCGCAACGGCTGGAGCTGAGCCACTCTAAAACCAGGAACCAGGAGCTCTTCTGGGTCTCCCACGCGGGTACAGGGTCCCAAAGCCTTGGACCATCCTTGCCTGCTTTCTCAGGCCACAAACAGGGAGCTGGATGGGAAACGGGGCTGCTGGGATTAGAACTGGTGTCCATACAGGATCCTGGCACGTTCAAGGTGAGCACCTTAGCCAGTAAGCTACTGTGCCAGGCTCTGTGTTTCAGGCATCTTACCTAAAAGAGTGTGGCATATGCCAATGTCTTGAAGTGTTTCCACTCTTTTCTTAGTATTTTCAGAGGTTCATGCTTTACGTTTGACTCTTCTATTCATTTTGAGCTGATTTTTTCTTTTAATAAAGTGGGAGGTAGAGGTCAAACTTGAATATTTTATTTACAGTTGCCAGTTTCTCTAGCACTGTTTATTGAAGAGATTGTCCTTTCTCCAGTGTATTATTCAACACCTTTGTCAAAAAAATCAGTTAGCTGGAAACGTATGGGCTGATATCTAGAATTTTGATTTGTTTCCACTGACATAAATATCTCTTATGCCACTGCCATGTTGTTTGTGGTTACAGCAGACCACTGGGCAGGATGTGAAAAATGGTGGGCGCACCAGCCTTCAGTTTTCTGTGGATGGAATCCCAAAGGGTTCTTTTGAGGATCCGTGCTTAAAAGGACTTGGTTGGGTTGTGGTATTGCTAGCAGAGATGCCTGTATCCCCACAGTACCAGCTTCAGGTTTCTATGCGGTATCTTCACAATCACCTGCCATTTTCCACACAAGCAGACAATTACTGTTTCCATGTTGTGGTGCCTGTGATAAGAGGAGAAAAGGCATGAACAGCTTTGTGGCCACCTAGGCAATAATACCAGGTCGCATCCGCAGCACACAGGCTCCCAGGACTAATTCAGCATAGGGTAGGGCCAAGGAGCAGTCTGCTATGATCTGCCAGATGTTGAGGTGTGCCACAACCAATGCCAGCCTGGGATAGAAGTCTGGTGACTTGGAGTGTCAAGTTGAGATGGAGGCAGGTTCGGGGGATTCATCTATAATCAGCAACCTGGGCTCAGGGACCACTAGCATGTGCCCGGTGATGGTTTTACCAGTCCAATACGCAGTCCCGTGCTTAATTTGGTGCTCCACAGGGACTGGGTCCTGTGCTTCACAGGGGATAGAGTATTGTTCCTTTTATGCCTGCCCATGGCTGAGGGAAGGATGAAGCTAACATAAAGCTGGCTTGCACTTGAGTCTTGCACCTACAAGGTCTGTACTGCTTCATAGATGCGCACCAAGTTTGTGAGATGCGGAAGGTAATGCAGGCTAGAGCATCTGTCTGTCTCACCAGGACATAAGTCTCTCTGATGCCAGGGCAGATCCAAAGGCTGAGTACTGGCCTAGGGGCAGAGACTTTGGGGCTTTCTTTGGAGCTGGATCTCAACACACTAAGCCCAGATCTGAACATAAGGCATAGTTTTAAACTCATCTTCCTCTCCTAGTTTCCAGTGACTGGAGTCTGGAGTTTTCTAACTTCCAAAGGTTGGGGGAGGAGCACTGGGCCTATCTCTTGGCCATACAGGTTGACCCTAAACTGAGTCAAAGCTAAGTGTCACAGTCACCAGAAACTGCAGTCTCAGGTGTATGCCAGACCTACATGATACTGGCTGAGTGAAGGCTAAGGCAGTCACTCACCCAAGAGAGAGAGGACCTCACAGAGCCATGGGAGCAGTAACTCCCAGCTGAAATGACCCAAGCATCTCATTCTTATCTTTCAGGTCACAGAGTTACCTGTCAGCATGCCTAGGGGTCAGAAGAGTAAGCTCCGCGCCCGTGCAAAACGCCGTCAGGCTCAAGAACAGCTCCAGAATGTGATGGGCGTTCCAGCCATGGCAGGAGTGGAAGAACCGGCCTGTTCCCCCTCTTCAACTTGTGTCAGTGAGGCTCCCAAGAGTTCAGCTACTTCTGAAGCCACCAGCAGTCCTCAAGAGCCTCCGAGAGCACCACGCACCAACACTGCTGTACCTGTTTCATATGCAAGATCCAATAACCGAGCAAGGGGAAGGCCAAGATCCTCACGGGTCCAGTCTGCCTTTGAGTACCACACTAAAGGCCCTGTAGACAAGGCAGTAATTCTTTTGGTGCAATACCTGCTGCGCAAATATCAAATGAGAGAGCCTGTTTCAAAGGCAGATATTCTGAAAAAAGTAACTGGTTTGCCCAACAGCTATTTCCATGAGATCCTGATGAAAGCTTCTGAATACATGGAGCTGATCTTTGGCCTTGACATAAAGAAGCTGGATCTCAACAGGCACATCTATATCCTCATCAACAAGTTGGAGATAGGCTATGATGAAAATCTGGATGATAATGGAAGAATCCCCATAACTGGCTTGCTAATGACTATCTTGGCTGTGATTTTCACAAGGGGAAATTGTGCCACTGAGGAGCAAATATGGCAATTGTTAAATTTGATGGGATTATATGCTGGGAAGAAGCATTTCCTTTTTGGGGAGCCCCAAAAGCTTATCACCATTGATTTGGTGAAAGCAAAGTACCTAGAGTACCAGCAGGTGCCCAATAGTATCCCTCCATGCTATCAATTCCTGTGGGGCCCCAGAGCCCATGCTGAAACAAGTAAAATGAAAGTCCTTGAATTTTTAGCCAAGGCCCATAATACTGTTCCTACTGCCTTTACATTCTGGTATCAGGAGGCTTTGAAAGATGAGGAAGAGCGAGCCCTAGCCAGAGTTATGGCTAGGGCTCGCATTAAAGCCATGGCTGATGCACGTTTGAGGGTCTGTACATCAAGCCTTCCAAAGACAAGCAGAATATGAGTCATCCCCTCATTCTGTGGTTGATAAAAAGAAAAAGCATTTTTTTTAAGTGGTGAAAGGTTGGGATACAAGCAAAGGCAACGTAGTATATAGCACAATTTTTGTTTTCTTTGTTCTTCAATAAGTTTTAAGCAAAATCTTGTTCTTTTTTTTATCAGAAGGCTTGAGTAGCTTTAAAATCTAAGTTTGTGTGTAATATTTTCATTCATTGGAAAGAATGAAATATAAGAGTAAAGATTTCACTACTGTGTAAAGTAAGCTAGAAAATGATCCATGATATTTAGTGATTTAGAATAACATAATGCAACAGTAAATTAACTATATTGTTGGAATTGGGGAAAAATTCAGCATTGTGATGGTTGAGATCAAGAAATGGAGAAAAAGTAAAAGATTTACATTGTTGGTTTTACTTAGTACTCTTTTTTATTTTGTAACATTTAAATCTGGCTGTACTACTTTAGTTAAGAATGTGAGAAATAAAATTATAATAAAGCAGACATCTTAGAAATTAATTTCTAAAATTTTATTTTAATATTATTCACATGATATTATTAATATTAACAATCCACATACTATTTTTTATGTCAATACATACATAAATATTTACATGCAGGATGAAAAGAGCTGACATATGTAGGAAGGTGGATGGGACAAATGTCCCAATTTTTTTCTCCTGTGTCCATGGCTGGGGGGCGGGGTGGGGAGAGAAGTGACTTCTCCTCGCCGTCAAACTACATCAGCACCCAAGAATGGGAAACAGTGATTTGATGGCATGTTAGAGACCCTGAAGTGCAGAAGAGTGTTCCGAGGTCATTGTTACTTTAGTGGTTTTGATAGTCCTAAGACAACAACAGCTTCAAACACCAGAGTTCAGAATATCTTTCCCAGGTCTGTTGGCTGACCAAGTCCACCTTAGTGCATCCACAGGCCCAGGATCGTGTGACAAAGCTTAGCAGGAGAATGGTCCAGCCTGCTGTTTTCCATCCTCTGGTGTGGTACTCGACTTCCTCTGCTGGCCTAGATGATCTGGCTGTCATATCTCCCATGTGCATCTGGACACTCCACAGTCAACTGAGAAGACCCAGTTCTAATACATGCACTTCAAAGTTGGAACACATACATTGTAATTTTTCCTGTGGCTGGGATTTGAGTCCAGCCATTTAGCTAGGGAGTGCCCCAAGAAACTTCACCTGGGATGACCTTGGAATTGATTCTTATGTGGGCCAACCAGTGCAGGGCCAGGCACAGCCCATCACCTATACCAGTCAATGCACTTACTGGTAGATGCAGCTGCCTAGTCAGATTTGCCCCCAGCCCTATTTCTCACACGAACTAATGGGTGCTACAGCATAGTCCAGTCCAGCCCACCAGAGGCCCAGTCTTCAAGCACACCAGCAGGTGCTGCTGCCTAGCCGGGACAACCTCCAATAATCACCAGGCTTACTCCAACCCTGGTTTCTGCCTGTGCCAGCATGTACTGTGACCTAGCCTGGCCCGTCCCATATCCTGTCTGGCTCTCGTGCACATCCATGAGTGCTGCATCTTAGCTCAGCCAGTCCCACCTCCAGACACGCCCCACACATATGCCAACGACATATGTGACCATATGTTGGTGACCAGCCTGACCCTCCCCAAGCCCTGGCTTTGAGGTTCACCAACAGAAAATGTAGCCCAGCAGGGGAGTGCCCACATTTCCCCTACCAGGCCCACTCCCAGTCTTGGATCTTGCGCCTGCCTGCCAGAGTATATTGCAGTGTAACCAGACAAGACTTACACCCAATCCCAGCACTTGCTAGCAGGCATTAAAGCCCAACCTGACTGGTTCACACATTGCAGCCTAGCCCAGCCTAGACAACCCCCAGACTGGCTCACCCCCAGGCCTACTTCCTACACTTAACAGTGGAAGCAACACCCCAGCAGGGGAGTCCTCAAAGTTCCTACCAGGTCTGCTTTCTGCCCTGGGTCTTGTGTGTGCCAGCGTATGCTACAACCCAGTGTGAGACAGCCCACCCCTAGTATTGGCATTTGCCAGCAGGTGCTACAGCCTAGCCCAGCCTGGCCCATCCCCAATCTCATGTGAATTGGTGGATATTGTGGCCCAACTTGGCATGGCCTGTTCCCTGTCTTAGCTCTCTCTTGTGCTAGTGTCTGTTGTGGACTGGCCCACCACAACCCAAACTCCAGACCCAACTCACACAAACGCAGAAGGGTGCTGCCATCTTGCCTGGCCTGACCTGCCTCAACTCTGGGCTCTCACTCTCACCCGCAGGAGCTGCAGCCTAACATGGAAGGTCACCCACCAGGCCTGTTCCCAGCCTCGGGAGCTTATGTTTTTAAAAAAATAATTAAGCTTTTACTCTTTGGAAAGTTTGTGCCAGTGCCTAGAGTGCTAATATGAAAAATCATCCCTGCCCATAGAAATTTACATTTTGGCCCATCCTCTCACTGCAGCGTCACCTAAGCAGCCTCAAGGGCCTGAGGCCTTGGGCTAAGGGCTGACAGAGCAGAACTGGCCTGGCAACTTTCCCACGTGTTTAGGTCTCAGGTGGGTGGGTGGTTAGTATTAGGGCCCCAGGCTACAATACTAGCATGGTGTGCTAGTAGACTGTGTTTGTGGGCGCGCTAACTTGCTTGATTCTCAGCTGGGCAGAGGCCTGAATGTGTGCCAGGGTACTGGCTCTGGAATCCCAGGTGGGCGGGCAGGGCTCCAGGCCAGCACGCTGCCCTGCCAGAAGACCGGACTGAGGTATCCATTTGCTCATGGGTGCAGGGGACTGTGGATTGATCAGGGAAGGGGGTATGGGTTGTGTGGGAGGGGGGACTGATGATGGAGCACATTGCAGGTAAGAATGACTTCTGTACTTACAGGTAAATGAAGGGGTTGAGGCCAAGTGGTTTGGAGAAGGGAAGCTAGAGGACCTTTCTGGGTCAGACCAATGCACCTGCTCACATGAGAGACTTAAACTGGGCTAGTTAATATTGATCCCCACTGACCACCGCTCACTGGCACACACTAAGGTTAGGAGAACAACAATAAGGAAACTGAGTTTAATGAGGTCTCTGTGCTACCTTTGCCAACTTTTCTATAAATACAAAACTACTTTGTCAATCTACAAAAGGCTTTAAATAAAATCATTAATTACATTATCAAATCAACTTGCTGACAGCAGGAGCAGGGTTCTGTTGGTTCAGGAGTGGCAAATTCCTTTGGAGCTCATTCCTCTATCTGCTAACTCTTATTAAAGCCTTTATTTATTTATTTATTATGTTATTTGTATTGGAAAGTCATATATACAGAGAGGAAGATCTTCTGTCTGCTCTTTCAGTCCCCCAGGTGGCTGCAATGGCCAAAGCTGAGCTGATCCGAAGCCAGGAGCCAGGAGCTTCTTCTGGGTATCCCATGCAGGTGCAGAGTTCCAAGGCTTTGGGCCGTCCTTGACTGCTATCCCAGGCCACAAGCAGTTTTCCTAACTGATGATCTGATATTAGCACATTTTTACTGATGAACATCCATACATCATTCAGATTTCCTTCATCTTTTCCAGTGTTCCTTTTTCTTCCCAGGACCCCATTCATAATACCACCTTGCTCCAGTCTCATTTTTCCTAGGCTTCCGTAGGTTGTGACTGCTTTTCAGATATCATCTGCTTTTGATGACCTTGACAGTTTCACAGGGTAATGGTCGGGTATTTTATACACTGTTCTTCACTTGTGATGTGTTTCATATTTTTCTCATTATTAGACTGTCATTATAGGCTCTGAGGGGAAAGACCTCGTGAGTAGAGGGTCATTTTTATCTTATTAATTTACGGGTGAACACTATCAACATGACTTATCATTGACAATCTTCACCTTGACCATCTGGCAGAGGTGGTGTTTGACAGATTTTCTGCACTATAAAGTTATACTTTTTCTACGCTTTTGATAAAAATACTCTTTTGATAGATGCCAGTATTTCAGTCTTATACTTACAGGGGGGAGAGTTTTGCTTTATTTCGTTGAATGTGGGATATTGTTTTCCTCGAAGGGGAAAATTATTTGCAATTCTGTAAGAAGCATTTGCTTATTCTCCTTGATGTGTTTATTCATTTAATCATTTATGTATATCAGTATGTGTTATAGAGTTCTATTTTATGCTTTGGATTATTCAATATTAGATTATTTTATTGCTCAATTCATTCCCTTGATACTATAGTCTTGTTATCTTAAGTCCCCTCAAGAGATAGAGCTTGGAAAACGCCTGAAATTTAAATATGTGTTTTTATTAAGGGTCTTTCTTCATGTGATAACGTGCCTGTGTCATATGCTTTGAAAAATGCAGAATATCTCATGTCTACCATTGCAAGAGCATAAACACATTTTCGTTGAATTCAAACACCATGTAAGAAATAAAAAGCTAAAATCAAACTATATAAGGATATGTAATGAGACAAACATTGATGAAGCCTACTCAGGAAAAGTCGAAACAGATGTTAGTTCATATCACAGCCTACATGATGGTTCTTCTATTTAATAGAGCCACGCAGTAAGAGTGGAAACACAACAGCCAAAAAAAAATGAGACCGAAAGTGCCCTAAAGTGAGATTTTGCTAGGCTTTGGCAAGATCCTTGTTTTTTTCTTACCAGCCAGGTAAGCAACAGAAGTTATTTGATTATGCCAAGAAACATTAAAGATCTTTATGCCGCTATAAATGACTGCGAACAAAAATTCTCTTCTAGCTACTTATCAGATGATCTAGCACGTTAGTTGCAACTATTAGAAAGTGTCATCTGGCTACTTGTATTATGCATTGGTATCAGTCTCGAGTTTAATGTGTCTAGAGCTCAGGTTGCTAAGCTTCCCGGTTGGTCCTGTGCTTCCTTGCACCTTGGTCCTGAACATTGGGAGACTAGGTCAGCTAAAAATAAGGAAAAAATGCTTTCTATTGGAGGTGTTACCAGCCAACATTCTCAAATGGTTGGCATTATCTTGGATGTTCTAAGATAATCCTTGGATGTTG